GCCTCTCCAAACTGAACTGTCATAGCCTCGCGAGAACTGCCACCTGCAGTAGTCTGCAGGTCATTTACAACATTAACCAGGTCATAAATGCGGAGCTTAAAATGGCAATACTGTGTGCGAAAAACAACGTGATGACTTGAACAAGGATACAAAGTCTGCATAATAACAAATCTGTATAATAAGTCATTAGTGAATGCCAGAGAGCCACATGAGTGAACATAAGAAAAGAAAAGAAAATGTATAATGAAAATAAAATGTAAATGACAAGTGGTTATTTTAGATTTATTGTACACCTGTCTTAAAACGTAAGGGATACTGGAGCTTGGTTGGGGTGGTGGGGTGGCTCGCGGTGGGTGCCGGAAAATTTCCCTTATTTTCAAATCCAAAACTTGACAGGTATGATTTGGACCCCTGACCCTGAAGCTGCAGTGCTACCTACAGCACCACTAAATAAAAACCTATTTTTAGTGAAGTGTTTCATAATAAAACTGGTCTGCAATAATTTATATTATTTGTCATTCTTCCAAGCTCTAATCCAGTTTCTAAGCGCTTTGCTGTTCCCTGCCATTTGTCTGCTGCCTCTTGGGTTACTGGTTTAAATCAGATGGCTATAAACGCGATGCTATACTCCGATTAATTAACCTCAAGGCAACGTTACACATCATCTTTCTTTGGCCTCCAATGGTTTTACTAAGAACCAAATATGCCCCCTGCTGGCCAAGCAGGATAATACCGAATGGCAGTTTATGGCACATTTTAGCACTTTTCCGGTTCTTTAACCAGCTGCGAGCCAAATTCTTTAGGTCCACTGACCCATGTCTCTGTTCTGCGTCCTCTAATAATTTGACAATGCAATTTCACGCCATGCTGTGCCACTCCTGGACAGTGGAGTTAATGTTCTGTCTAATGATATTACTACTCAATTATGATATTTGAGGCATGAGTGTATCATGGAGGATAAGCTTGGACAGGGTCATGTGTCATTCTGCATTCGGTGGGGGGGGGGCAGAGGCTCTTTTTCATAATCCTCTCCCCTCAAATTAAGCCCCTCTAGGGTGCCAAACGTGCTTTCCCTCTGACTCCTCTGAGGTTGGGGCCTGTTTAATACACCTTCACTGCAGGGAGGAGAATGAGTCACTGTACAGTGGTTCTGTGGGCGGGGCTTGTGCGGGGCATGCATCATAAACAGTGGTTCTGTGGGCGGGGCTTGTGCGGGGCATGCATCATAAACAGTGGTTCTGTGGGCGGGGCTTGTGCGGGGCATGCATCATAAACAGTGGGCTCGCCCTGGAGG